TACACAGCTAAGTACACTATAGAATTATCATTCTGCTGAGAAAATGTTGCGTGCTAGTTCATAATAAAAGAATTATCGTTGTGCTGAGAAAATGTTGCATGCCAGTTCATAATAAAACTACAACTAAAAAGAATCTACTCCAACTGGTGGCACTTCAATGGTTATACTCGATCCAGAGTTTGACAAACCATACGGTTTGATGTATTAAATTAAATAAGAAGCACATAAATCATATCTGGATGGTAATTAGTGATTTTGGGTTCTTTGCCAAATTTGTTAATCAAGTTCTGCTCAATCTAATGCTACAAGGCATTAACAGGTAGATGCCAAATATGAGAAAACTAAAAAAAAAGTTTCATCCAGACAAAACACAAGATACAATTTACAAGAATCGTATGATTGTTTTGAAAAGGAAGATAGCATTACCAATATCAATCCAATAATGTTTGTCTTCTTCTCATAATAAACCGGCACCCTGCTATGACCTTTGTCAAGGACTTTTTGCATTAGATCCCTGCACGAGAACATGAATGACAGGATTATGCAGTTGAGAAAAGAATATGGTAGGGCCAATTAAATCATGTGTAATTGTAACGCAACCAATACCTGTCAAGCTTTGCATTTATATCAATAGCAAATGTTTGACATAGGGGTGTCATAGCATCTTTAGCTTTCTTTTCAGTAAGCTCAAGAGCTCCAGCTATTATAGTAGTTTCATCGTGGGTTAACTCCCCACCTTTACCAGCCTGTTGAAATTGAAGTAAAACAGTTATAAAACAGATTTCCGTAACCTCAACACTCATGCAAAAACTAATAGGAAGATCAATAAACATGAATTCATTTTTTACATGACTAAGTCAATGATTGGTACAGGTAAGACCAACTAGCTCTCTAAGCCTGTCCAGTTTCAAGTGTGGACTGTGGACGGCCTGTAAGCAGAATACCAACCAAATGACCTGCTCCATTAGGACATCTAAGATCTATATTCTAACCGGGGTTGCAGACATGAGTATTTAATCACAACCTATGAAGTAAAACCATATCCTTCGTATAAAGCATGAAAGGTTAGGGGGAAAAAAAGCAAAGCATGTTTATCAGTAATATTCCAGCATGCCTATGCCCTCTGAGTCAAAATCCACTTAGGGTGAGGAAGGAATGCATCAGATTCCACTAAGTTCACTCTCCCTTTCCTTTTTATGTTTTGTATTTCTTTTGTTATTTCCTTGGAAGTGATATTGATAATAAATTACTTCAAAATAGCACATAGAATCTCCAAACCTAAGCTTTTGCACATCACACAACCCAACGAATCAGAACCCTGACTGTGGTAATTCATACGTAGATCGGATGATATACAGAGGTATTAACAATTTAACACCCGAAATTCTTAAAAAGTGGAGCTGTCTATGATCTACAATTTTGTGTAGTCTCACATACATAGGATAATAGCAATAATCTAATTTCTTCTTTAAGACACAATATTTCTGTTTACCTCATTTCCATGCAGGGTCACGAGTGTTTTTAGTTCAGCTCTACGGAAAAGAGCTGTATGACCTTTACCAAGCAGATGGTCCAGCAGCTGAAAAAGAAAAGTAAAAAAATGTTCAATACATGTGCATTCGAGGATACTAATGCTAAAAAAGAAAGTAAAATATATTTAATACATGTGCATTCGAGTATACTGATGTAATGATATTGCAGAGTCTGCGAGTATAATTACCTTGCTTATCGGATATGCAACAGGGAAGCAAACCCAAACGAGCACACGGACTAATGGAGCAACTGAGGCACCAATAGCCAGCCCATAGCGTGAACAGATGGATTGTGGTAATATCTGTTTATACCAGAACATAATATTAGCATGGGGTGCAAAAATATAGGCTTGTAGCTGAACATCATAGTAAAGTATATATAATTCACCTCACCGAACAGCAGGATCAATGTCACTGAGATCAAAATCGCACCCCAAGCAGTCACCAAGCTATCAAGGAATATGGGCAGAGCCTAGCAACATACAGAAGCATGCCATCACATGTTCATTCATCTGGAGAACCTTAAAGCTCTAACCGGTCTACAAATAGCTTGAAATAAAGCCAAATACCTCCATGGCTGCAGCATTGCAGATCAGAAGAGTACATAGCAGAAGGTGCTGGTTTTTCACAACAGGCAATATCTTAGCTGGAAAGAAAAGAGAAAAGTTAAGATGAGCAGTTTCACAAAAATATGAGAAGATTTGCATTTGACGCATGCCATTTTACATATTTAAAAAAAAAAGATGAAGCATATGCATTTCATTCAGCCAAATAAATAGCTCAAGAATGGATCGCCTAACATAGCAACAAAAGAAAACAAAAATTAGATGAGTACCAGGGTTTACTTTAGATTTTACAGGGTGTTTTTAATTTACTTTTTCTATGCCACTAGGTCTTACTTTCCGAAATAAGAAAGTGCAGAGCATGTCGCTATCCCCTAAAACAGCAGTAATACGACCACTTCCCAGGTGATCAAGCCAAACCTTCGCAACAAAAAGTACACAAAAATTTGTTGGGCCGCCTCTAAAATCGCATGGATTGATCAACCAAAAGTAGGCACAACCAAAAGTAGGCACAACGGGAAGGCCGCGTGTAGATTGCATGAATTGATCGCCCAAAAAAAAAATTATACGACCCATACGTTCCAATCACCCTCCCAACAACCGCTCTATTCGCCAAATTCATCACAAAACAACGTTCATGCATCGATTCATCGGTCCGACCGACGCCCGCGGGATGTTCGACGAAATGCCAAGCCCGGAAAAGTTGCAGCCAAATCCTACCAGAAACCCATCTAATCAGGCACGACACGCACACCAACGAACGCCGCCGCCCGTCGGAATACACCCAGGCGGCTGTCGGGCGGGGCGGGCACAGGGGAATGGCAGGGCGCGCACCTGCGTGCTTGCGGTCCTGGTCGGTGCCGGACTTGGCGAGGACCTCGAGGTCGACGAGGCTGAGGGACATGAGCCCCAGGGTGAGCCCCGACATGAGCCCCGCGAAGAGCACCAGCACCACGATGATCACCACGTGCTCGAAGAAGGCCGCCCCGCAGCAGTGGTACTCCACCGCCATCCGCCGCCGACGCCGACGCCACTCCCCCCCTACTACTCCCCTTCCCTTCCGCGCTCGCGACGCACCACCGCCTCCTCCTCCTCCGCCGCCTCCTCCTCTCTCCTCTCGCGCTCGCCGGAGCCCGCGGCTCCCGCGCTATTTAGCGGCGAGGGGGAGCGGGAGGGACGCCGCGTGGTGTGCGCTGCCCGAGCGAGCTGGGCGAGGCGAGATTTTGGAAGAGAAGAGAAGTAGAAGTGGAATCGAGAAGAGAGAGAGACGAGGCGATGCGTGGGCGCGGAGGCGAGGCGACGGGTGGCCATTGCCATGGGTGATGATGGGTGGTGGCTCTGACATGTGGGCCAAGTGGTGATTCCACTGGGTGTGTAGGGCCCACGCTGCAGTGGCTGTGGAGGTTGAGTTGGGTTGGGTTTGCGATTATCCCGGGGTTTCGGGGGTTGAAATTGCTGGAAGCACCTGCTTTGCTTGTGCAACCGTGGGCTGTCGGCATGTGCCGGTGTCTTCCGTGGGACCGGTCTATATGGACTATGGACGCCAACTTCGGGACCCTACTGCTCATTTGTCTCGCAAATCTCATCAATGGCTCCTCATGCAACTTCTTGTCCCTTTGGCTATTTTTTTAAAGCTATTTAAAAAGGAGTGCGAGTCATCTTATATCTAGCCTCTTCTCGTTTAGAATCTCATTTAAAAAAATATGTAAGGGCTTTTTTATGAAAATATATGGTAAAAACTACATATGTGGTGGACACTTAGAAACTACCGTTGAATCGAATAATAGACGTCCGAAATTTGTCCACGTCATCATCCGTGAGTAAAACTTTTACTCGTGATGACGTGGATGAATCTCGGACGTCTATTTTTCAATCCAACGGTAGTTTCCAAGTTTTCACCACATGCTTTCCCGTGTTTTAGGATGTTGATCCTATAGAATATAATTGTACGAAGCCCTTTGAAACGAATGATAATTTCATATCCATTCTCTTAAAATTTTATATGGAATTAATAATTCTAGAGCAATTTTGGAGGAAAATAAACATGGTTTTAAATCTCCGACTACAACTATTTGAGAATGGTTTTAGCTATTTTCTCTCATATATAATTTATCCGCTATGATTCTTTTTAGCCCACTGTAGTTGTTGCTATAGTTGTTTGAGAATATCATCAACCGCTAAATGTCTTAGCCGGCTATTTAAAACCATTGAAAATAAGCATAAGAATATACCTCATGCTTTTCTCTTCCCATGTCTTGAATTTTTTATATGTACTAATAAAACAATAGTTTTAAAACTTTCATGTGTTTCGAAATATAGTAGGAATGCAGATAATACAAAGATTTTTTTATCTGGTTTATTTTAACATTAGCTTTTAAACCGTTAATAATATAACTATGGTTTTCTTGCTTAGTTCATTTTCCCACGTATTGTCATCTACTAGATCAAATCAAACAATCAATCATAGCGTCAACCTTTTTTATGCACTCCATTTTTTTTCTCGGCGTGCATCCCCCTCTCACAAATAAATTACTCCTCTATTTTTAATAATTGGTACTCCCTCCGTTCTAAAATAAGAGTAATTTTACATTGTATATATTCAACATTTAACTATTATTTTATTTGATATTCTTTTATGATTACTATTTTTATTGTTATTTGATGATAAAACAGGAATAATATTTTACGTGTGACTGATTTTTTAAATTTTTCATAAAGTTTTTAAATAAGACAAACGGTTAAATGTTAAATACGGATAGCATGGCTATACTTATTTTATTTATTTTATTTTAAGACGGAGATAGTATAAGAGTAGACGGCCAGGTCCGGTACGGATCTACCCGCTTGATTGCTCGCATGGCCTTTAGCCAATGCTACTAGCTTGTGCCAAATATTTTTTTCACAAGGAAATCGGGGACGGGAGCACGTGTGTAGATTACTAGGGGTGGCGCGCGCCGTTGCCGCGCTGCCGGCAACAAGACAGGTAAAAAAACAGAGGTTACATGAAAGTTAGATATGTATAGAAAACAAGCATGCGAGAAATAAATTAAACAAAGGCAGGTAGTCATACATACATAAAATAAAAAAGAACACATTTTATTACAAATAAACCCTACGACCTCAGCAATAAATACTATATTTTGTGGTATAAATTTGGTTCTAGTCTGGATATAATAGTCATGGATTTGACTAAACATCTTGCAGAATATCACCAAAAAGATTATATTGACCAATGGAACAGAACTTGTCGCTTGCAGTTTTCAGTAAAGAAAATCTACAATTCTGAGCAGAAAACCCAAGGAAATTTAACACTTGAACCACATCAATGAAAAACTGATATAGAAACTTTGAAACCCACCTATGCAAGACCACCACGCCACCTTTTTTATAACTCTGCATGATCAAACTGTGGACAAATGCAATGCAGTATATTATAAACTGTCACATACAAGATAAATATGGTGCTGCATGGAATTAATCAATTACCATTAGGCTGGCCAGTAGCATCTAGCAAACAGAGGAACACATCTCTCTTATTTTCAGAGGAGTGTTGTTATTGCTATCAGTTAGTAAAACTCTGTCTAACAGCCCATATTTAGAGGGAAAAAAAGAAAGTGAAAAAGTCTTCTAGCTCTAGCCTTTCCTCTCTGACCAACTATTGTACATAGTGCATAAAAGGAGAAATCCAATAAAATATAATACATGTGCAACCCAACATCAGGATGGCCTCAATTCATTCATTGTGCCTTGTTTATATCATCTAACTCATCATATCCCTCAATTATTAACATCCATCATTGCAAAAAATACACCCATGTAAAAAAATTTACTGCACTCCTAGCACTGCAATCAACATACATGTGTACTGCATTTTGTTCTATAAATGGTGCTTCTTGTTGTAGAAATTGTTGTAGCATGTCCACTTTGTCAGTTGTGTGCTTCAAAATCTTTGGTGTTGGCATTTTCAGAAAATAAACATGAAGCACCATGGCCATGTGTAGATATAAGCAAAATAAGGGCAACAAATGATTAAAGATAGTTGTGGTTTGTAGAGTATAAAGGATTTAAGGTGGGGATTTCTACCAGATCATTTGAAGTGTGCATCTCGATTTCCTGAGTTTGTTGCCTGGTTAAAACAACAACAATTAGGCATGACATTCATGACTTGTTCCACTTTGTTTATTATATACTTTAAGCCCACCTGTAAGATCTGCAACAAATGAAAGCAGTCACTATACAACAATAATTAAATTCTGTAGAACAGAGATAACATATCTCAGAAAAATATAGTATTGTAGTGCCAGCTAATTAAGATGAGTTAATTAGGATGTTGATGGTACTAATAACAACGTACATGGTGATGTCTAAGTTGATTCTCTAATGTTTTCATGACCAAAGGCTGGCAGTGTTGTATTGGCACCGAAAGTTCTTGCTCTTAGTTTTGTACCATTCTTAGGCATTCCAATATCTTGCCAGTTATTTATCTGCACAAAAGGGGAAAGCATACAAGAAAATGCAGATAGAGAACATCAAAACGTGCACTTATGCTCAAGAAAATTATCACAGAACCTCATCTACTCACAGAATTAGTTTCACATTTAGGCTGTGTTTAGATCCAAAGTTTGGATCCAAACTGCAGTCCTTTTCCATCACATCAACCTGTCATACACACACAACTTTTCAGTCACATCATCTCCAATTTCAACCAAAATCCAAACTTTGCGCTGAACTAAACACAGCCTCAGGCTATAAAAGCTCGCTCTATGTTTTGTTTTTCCTATTGAGGTAGTAAAATGATTATTACAAATGAACTTTCCATCGTTGTAAGAAGATCCTGTGGCAATTTCTATTTATCCCTTGGTTGTTAGGCCAATTGAGCAAAAGAAGGCATAGGATAAAAGGTTTTGCAACATGAAAAAGGGATCAGTATAGCTGATCAACAATTGTTTGGGGCTGAACAGCCCTACCTACCTTCCCAAAGACATCGTCTTCTAATTATAGCCTCTGGCTAACCATAAGAATCTACAAAGGACATAATACTTTTTATGCATAAACATTCATGTTGAGTGTTCAACTGTTCACTAACCACCAAATCAAGATTCAGTTTCCTTTTAAATAAACAGATTATATCTAAACAGATTATATCTGTGTGCACCAAGGTAATCAAGAGGTCTAATGGCAAACAAAACCAGCAGTATCTACTGTTAGCCAATCTAAACTGCAGGAAAACACATTGGCGCATTGCCAAATACTTTTTGTGCGTAAACACATTCATGTCGAGTGTTCATCTGTAAAGTAGTCACCGAATCGAAATTTAGTTTTCTTTCAAATAAACAGATGATATCATGTGCACCAAGGTAATCAAGATGACTGATGGCAAACAAAACCAGCATCATCTACTGGTATACAATTGCCGCTAAGCTGTGGAGCTTCATTCGTGGCTCGTGTGAGAGGCAAAGCAACTATAGATGGTCGACCACCTAAAAGAATGAAGCAAACAAACGTATGAATCTCGGTAACTAAAGATTCACAAAGACCAAATCTAAAGAATGCAGTACATCAGTAACAGAGGTTGAAACAAAACAGAAAGCCAACCTCTTATGCTTTTTATCCTGAAATGATATGCTCAAGGAAATCTGAGTTATTTGCTAAGAACCTGCACAAATTCAGAAATACATGATAGTGAGAACCTGCAAGGCTGCAACACACATACAAAGGGAGAAAGAGAAAGCATGACAAAAAAGGAAAGGAGTGGTGGTAAGAGGCAAGCAGGCAGCCATCTGAAACATTGTCTGTGCCGCTGCCCACTGGTCACCGTCACATATGAGAACGACTTCATAACGGCGGCAACGACAGCAAGGGACTCAGATACACATGAATCCTGTATGGCTTTGGCAGTGGAGAGGCACATGGAGACGACCTTTTTTGGCCGCATACAATGCTACTCTTGCTTGATGCCGTCGCCGCCGGTCGGAGCGGCTTCAAGCTTCCGTGCAGCACCGTATTACTCATCTCGCCAAATCTAGCACGGTGTTGGAATACTCAGAGTAGCGTGCAACCAGACAGAGAGAACCGTCGCTGGATCGACGAACTCATCATTGACCGCCCAACACGCCAAATCGAGCTGTGCGGCACCGGATAGAGCACCTGGTCATGGAGCTCCAGCGCAACCGCCGAATCAAGGTACTCGTCGTTCGCTGACTGAGCGTCTCACCATTGAGCTCAAGCCAGCAACACCGATGACACGAAATGTCTGAGATTGGTGCCACATCGCCGCCGCCAAGATCAACAGATCCAGTGGCTCTGGATCTATCGCCGTCTCTAGATCAAAGAGAGAGAGAGAGAGGGAGGGGGAGGGGGGGAGGAAGGAGAGCAACAAGAAAGATGAGGGTGGGGAGCAGAGATTTCCCCATGGAGCTTACCGCGACACTGCCGATGAGCCTCATGTGCTAGCCCTGCCCTTGCCTCCGGGTGACCGGATCCGCCGGCAAGGAGGTCGTGGCTACCCGAATCCGGCGAGCACGGTCTACCCTCCGCCGGAACTGGCCTCGCGGTGGCAAGGGGGAGGTGCGGCGATTTGGCTGGGTGCAAGAAGAGTGGTCGGAGGCGGAGGCGGATGCGGCGGTGTGGTCTAGGGAGAGCGAGCGAGAAGAGAGAGGTGACGGAACGGCGGCGGCTAGGGTTTCGTGGGGTGAGGGACCGGGATAGGGATGCAAGTTGTTGCAGAAAACCCCCTTAGTTTCTATGTTTTCGAGCGCAGTCCTATTTTCTGTTTTTTGCTTCTTTGATTAGAATATTTCTTTTTTAGAGGTCCTATACGTAATAACGTAGAACGTAGAAACTGTATACCAGAGATCTAAAACCAAATTATCAATTAGTTTAAGGGCTTTTTTGCAAAATGATCAGCGTCAGGCAGGCATGGACGCACGATGGGCATCCAACGACGGAGGAAGCAAGCAACGCGCAGCCTCCAAATTCAGCTCCGGAGAAGGGCCGGACGACGTGTCACGCCCCGGCAAGGGCCACGCCAGCGGCAAACGCTGATTTGAGGCTCAATTCTCGGCAGCTTTGTATATAAGCGATTCGGCACACGGACGTGTACGTGGTTTGGTCCATGGACCGGCTCCACCGCCCAAGGTGTGCGGCGCGTCGCTTGCATGGGAGGCGCGTGTGCGTGAATCGGGGAGAATGGCATCTCATCTTTTCGCGGATCTGTGCTGGATCGATCCACCGTGTCTAGCATCAGCATCTGATGCTAGCTGATGCTACTAGCAGGCTGCTGGTTTTCCCATTTTCATACCTCACGGGTTCCCACTTCCCACAGCCCCACTGCATGGTAGGGTTGGTCACTTGGACTGTTCACTGATGGAGGGTGATTGCTAGACTGTGCTAGGGCAGCTTTGAATTATGAGAAACGGGTAGGAATTTACTTCTACAATTATGATATATTTTAGCACTATAAATTTAAATAGATAAGATGATTGCTAGCTTGTACTAGCGAGCTTTGGATTAAGAGGAACGGGTAGGAATTTACTTCTAGAATTATGGTATATTCTAGCACTATAAATTTAAATAGATATGAAGTAGAGGGTGTAATTTATAATAAAAAAAAGCTGATTTTAGCTTCTAGGGTTATTTTCTGAATTATAGCTAAAGCTTTTGAGAATCTAGATAAAAAGTTAATTTTTTTCAAGAGAGCTTTCAATTATACGAGAAGCTATAGTGCTATACTTGCTAGAAGGTAGATTATCGGTGAAGTTCACATTATAGGCTATTAGGGTGATGAGCTGGATGACTATTAGGCCGAAAGTATGGTAGGCCTTAATTCTTTTATTTTTTTGGTTAGAGGTGGAAAGTGTGAAATTATAAAGTAAATGTTTAAATACAGTCGTTATCCACTTGCCTCAAAACATGATGACTCTGTTATATTATTGGTTGATGTCCTGTGCTTTTGTTGTGAGATGTATTAATAAATACATGTAATATTATAGGAATAATCTATGGATACATGCCGAAATACCTGCAAAATGGTGTGAGAATGAGGATTTTGACATGCTTTCATGTTAAGCTCAAATTATAAAGAAAGCATAGATTGGATGATGCAGTACTATAGAAATGATGGATGAGGATGGTAATTTTGTGCTTGCCTGTTGAGCACAAGAATATAATAAATTATAGATGGCGTGTAATACTTGTATTAGTTTTAAGATGTTAAAGCGAGGAACTGCATCGTTCTGACTTCTGAGAAGGCCCCCGTTTCGCTCTAAGGGCAGCGGTGACACAGGTGGTGACCACCACCGCCTTCCTCCCTCCTCCGCCTCGCCGCCGCCCGCGCAGACCGCCGGAAACCACGCGGCTGAGAGGAAGGCGGCAACAGGGCCTTCCATCTCCCTCGAGGTCGCGGGTCGGTGCCTACGACCCCGACCAGATGGGGGTGACGACGGTGTGACGGCATCGGCGTCGGCGTCGGGTTGGGGGCATGGAGGCAGCTAGGTGTGGAACGGATGGGCGTGGAGGTGGTTGGGTGCGGGGGCGGCGGTGACGGCGCTAGATTTGGCGCCCCTCGCTACATCCGGCGGTCCGTGTCACGCCCAGAAATTCTCGAATAGAATTCCAAGCAGAATGTGCATTTAAACCTCCGTCCAGGACCGGCCGGGGTACACAAACAACAAAGTTGACATACATATCCACGTCTTACAAACTTTATAAAAGTCTTACATAAATGCAGCGGAAAAATAAAAGATAACTGGAGTTAAGCGTTGACTTGGATTGCAGCGGGAACACCACTCCACAGGCATCCTCGACGGCACGGACGAAGCCTACTCCTCGGAAAAACCACCATCTGACGCATACTCAAACTCTGGGGTTTTGGGGAAAATAAAGCAAGACTGAGTACTATCCACTGTACTCAGCAAGTCATACCGGAATAGGGGGTATGATGCAGGGTTTAATCAACGTATGGCTAGAGCGGTTCATTTGTATAAAGCGAGCATTTATAAACAGTAGTTAAAAGCAGTAAAACGGCTGTAATAATTAATCAATATTAACCATCCATTGTCCAACGCTACACCACGTTGCAACAGGCCCAACCATCCACCTGAACTAATCAGTTCCATCAGACTAAACTAGGGTGAGACTAATCACGGTGAATCTGGTCGACCGCCCATAACCGCGGGCACGGCTATTCGAATAGTTTTACTCTGATCAGAGGTGTACAACTGTACCCACAAGACACAGCCCCAAGACACGCTTCTGTGCGCCGACATGCCACCACGACATACCGAAAAGAGGCCGTAACAGGACCCTTCGCATAACCCCCTCTAGCCAAGCACACCACACCTCAGGTTTCACCCCCCGTCCCCAGCGGGCAACGGGCAGTCCCCTCTCGTGCCTAGGTGAATCCAGAAGCTACAGAGGCCGTCGCAGGGCCCGCCCCGCTCCATCACGCCCACCCTTGCCTGGGAGCGTCGGCTAGAGAAAAGCTACACTACAAGCCCAGCCGTTGCCCACGCTGGCTTGTGGTAAGTACGAGGAATTCTTCCAGGGTTTCCCGCGAACCGGTCCTTAATTGCCATGGGTGCGACTAGCAAAACCATGCACTCACAGCCCACCATTTAATATATTTTAATTAACCAACACCGGAGCAATGGCATTAACCAATATCATTACTAGAATCTGATATCTATGCATTAATGTATTTCCCCCACTGTGTGCTAGTTGAACCAAGCATGACTAAGCAATCCCTAGTCCAATATCTAGTCATGTTATATCCCCAAGCTAACAAAGGAGCATGGTACAAAAATAGTATGGCTGTAACAGTAGGTAAACATCCCATAGTGACATTATAAAATGATGCAGTATTTAAAGGAAAACGGTAGGGCATTTGCAATATAGGATCAACATGTTCAAGTGACAAGCATGACTTGCCTTGCTCTGCTGCTGGAGGAACCTCGGCGACTATTTCAAAGTACACCGGAGCGTCGGGAGAGCCGGAATCTAAGCGACATACAAAGCAAACAATACAAACAGGCTATAAGACTACTGAAACAGAGGACAAAACCATTTTTAATAGATTCTATGCATTTCTTTTGATTTACTGAGTCTTGAATGGGCTTAAACGGAGCACGGATGAATTAGATATGAATTTTAGAAGATTCACTGTGTTTTTACTATAAACAGAAAAATACTTAATTGATTTATTGCGCAATAATTAAAATCCCGGGGAGAGAGAGGGCGGCGCCGACATGCGGGCCCCGCATGGCAGTGACTCAGGGAGGGTGGTCCATGGTGGACCGGGTCTACGGACCGGGGAGGAGCGGCGCACCATGTGGTGCACACATGGCGCCGACGCGGCGCACACGCAGCGGCCACGTGGCAGCCACGCGGGCAGCCGGACCGACGGCCCCGATCTACCCTCGGGTAGATCGGACGGCGGCGGGGAGCTCGCGGCCAGCGCGCGCGGTCGGCTCAAGCCGACCCGGGACCATGGCGCGGCGGCGGCGCGGCACCGGTGGTGACCGGCGGACGGCGGCGACGATTCGGCAAACGGCGACGGCGCGACGACGGCTAAGCGGCGGCGCTACCAAGGAAAAGAGAGGAGGAAGAAGGAAGGGGAAGGAGGGGCGTCCTCACCGAAGGGGTCCGACCGGCGTGGAGGGAGACGATGGCGACCGGCGACGAGGAACGATGGAGGGAGGTCGACAAGCAGCGGACGGGGTCCGAGACGACCTAAGGAACGAAATGGGGAAGATTAGAGAGGGAGAGAGAGAGACCATAGAGGGCGGGAACGCCGGCCGAAGGCGGTGGCCATGGCGTCTCATACCGGCGCACGACGGGGATGGGGCTCCGGCGGCGAACCTCGATGGAGGAGGGGTGGACGAGGTGGACCTCGGCCGCGCGAACCCAACGGCGGCGGCGGCGCGGTGCGGCGGCGGGTGGGTGCACGGTGCGGGAGCGATGGAGAGCTCGGGAGAGGCCGGCGGAAAAAGGGAAAATGAGGAGGAGGATGCGGGGATGGATTATATAGGGGCGGAGAGGTCGGGAACGGCTGGGAGTGGCCCGATTTCGCCGGCCGACGTGGGGGAGTGGGAGAGGAGAGAGAGAGAGGCGGGATTCGAAAATCGAATCCCGGCCACCTCGGGAGCGCGGGCGAGCGGGAGAGGGGGTTGAGGGGTGCGGGAGGGGCGGACGCACGCGCGGGCGTGGCCGACGTGGTGCGGGGAAGGCGGGTGCAGGCGGCGTGCGCGCGGCGGCGGTTGCCGGCCCGGGGCCACCGGCTGGAGGTTGGGGAAAGGACTGACAGGTGGGCCCTACCTGTCAGCGCCTGAGGGAGAGAGAGGGGGGGCTCGGGCGAGCGGTTGGGCCGTGGCCTTCGGCTGGCCCAGCAAGGGCGCGGGAGGGGGAGGAAATGGGCCGACAGCCCATTTGGGAAAAAGGGAGGAAAAGGAAAAAGAAAAAAAGGAAAAGAATTTCCAAGGATTAAATAATGCTTGAGCTCATTTTTAATTGGTTAAAATTATTTCTAGAGCTCTGAAAATTCCACTAAAAATCTTGTTAGCATATTTCGACATATAGAACTCAAGAAAAATTCCACATGCCAATTCCGATTATTATTTGCATTGATTCCTTTAGGGTTTCTCTCTTGCTTTTTCACCGGTATTTTCTCGAGGTGATTTATAAATTCAATTTAGGCTTGGGAAAAGAACTTCATGGTGTGACAGTCCGTCCCCCTCCCAGGACGACGGCGACACCCAAGGAGGCGGGGAAGGGAGATGGCAGGCGACGGGGAAGAGGTGGCGGCTGGCGGCGGGGGAGAGGTCGGCGCCGGGGCAGCGCGAAGACCGGCGGCAGGCAGGGGCAGTGTCACGGTGGGCGGGCGACGGCAGCGGCGGCTCGCTCGCGCCGTGGTCACGGCGCCGGCGTCGGTGTCGGCTTCGGCTTTGGTGATGGTGGACGATGGATGTTGCGGCGGCGCGCCCTAGCTGGTCGTCGCCCCCGAGCCTGGCTGGATCTGGCCGTCTGCAGCCGGATC